ACCGGCCAGCCATTTGATCCTCAATATGGGAAGCATCGTTCCAACTACAGGCGAACGGAACTGACGACGATATCAAAGCAGCGGGGATCGGGAAAGCAAGACAAGCTTTCACTACTCTCAAGTCTGTGTGGAGGTCAAAAGCACTCAGCAATCAGCATGTTAATAAGATCCGGATTTCCAACTCCAATGTGAAGTCAGTCAGTGCTACTATACGGATCAGAGACTTGGTCAGCGCGTCATAAAGAGCATCTCAAACAAACTACAGACCTTCATTAACAGTTGTCTTCGCTCAACACTCAAGATCTGATGGCCGGCCAGAAAAGATCAGCAATAGTGAGGGATCTCTGGGAGCGAACCAACCTAGCAGGAACCAACTGTGCAACAAATAGGCAAGAAAAAGTGGAGGTGGATTGGCCTGCCATATTCTGAGGAAACCATCAAGTGACATCACTAGATAAGCCATCGCTCGAGTGGAACCCGAAAGGGAAGCGGCGAGTTGGTCGTCAATGCGAGGATGACTTGGAGGAGGTGATGTGAAGAGGAGATGAAAGCATGTGGGCAGACTTGGAGCCAGGTGAAAACTTTAGCAGAGAACCGAACGCAATGGATGCGCGCGGCTGAAGCCCTATGTCCCTCTAGGAATTAAAGGAAACAATCATAATAATAATTTACGAAATAACCGAAATATATGTAGCCACTGAATAGACATATGTATCGTCCCAGTCTGGTTCTCTTCAACCCACAATTTCAACTGATACGGAATGCCTAATCCCTAAGTCATGTGGGAAGAAAGTTTACTAATGTAATAATAATAATAATAAATCATTAGTTCTTTAATCAATACTGTTTCTTGAATGAATGTAACACAAGAATCAATAATATCGGTATAAATACACCTACTGAATACTAGCGCATTAGTGCTGTGGTGAGAGCTGGCTGCTAGCCAAAGTTGGTAGACAGTAATCGACGTCACTTTTTATGTCCCCAATATATTGGTGGTGAGAAAATGATGAGAACAAAGGCTTTGCGTAGGCGGACACAACAGTTAGCATATGGATGATCTTACATAGCCACAAAGAGATGCAAGGTTAACTTTCTGTGAGAAACAACCAATCAACAGACTGTATTTTCCACTAACAATAATCTACAATAATGTACATTAAAATCTATAAATATGTGTTGATTTTCCTTCATAAACGATCTGTTGCCTGACCCTTGTCTTTTGTTATTACAGTAGTAGTATTGATTGATTTGAACGCCATCCAACTACTACTCGCACCAGTAAACCAGTAGTATAGGTAACATGTACTTTTATTTGCTTTCTTGACTGATTAATTTTTTTATTGTATCAAGTAGAATTTGGGTGATTTGACCCCCAAATGAGGAAAACCACTGTCTGGGGGTCTAGATCACTTCATTGTGATGTGAGTAGTATCCAACTACTTATATATCAGGAAATCAGTAGTATATGTCATCATGTAGTTATGCTTGCTTTCTTGATTCCCACTGATGGTATCAAAAATAAAAAACATCACATTGTTATGATAGTAATATACTACTAGCATATACTACTGAAGTTACTATATCAGGTTAAATATTAATTGGCGGAGTTTAACCCATAAAAACAATGTTTATGTACAAGTGAAATATACAAAATATTGATAAATCACAATAAACAGTAAATTTTTCCCTAATATGTCTTTAAAATATCTGGTTGGAGGATTTCATCATGAGTTGACATCAGTTAGAGAACCATTGGAAAACCTGCAGGGAGTACTGGACAGCCAGCTGTTTCGTCAGGCTAGTTTGGTTCTCTTCAGACAGCCATTCACTAGAAACTTCATGCATTTATTCCCCTTGATGAATTTAAATAAAGCAAGAACAACAGTGGCGGTTTGTGCAGAATAATATGGTACCATCATTGTTTATTTCGTTGGCTTCTCATCAGCTGCTTACAGCCTAAATAAATTGTGAGGTTTACGTACAGAAAAGTTTTAACATACTTGCAAATTTTACATGTTGTCAGTTGACAGAAAGTTCCACAATTAGTGAAAAGTGTTCAGAAAATTGTGCTTATGTAGTTTTTACACAGGCAGTTCAAGTCGAAATAAATGTATGCATACAATGGTAAAGGAGTTACGTAATAAAGACGAGAGGTGAGTAAGATGATGAGTAACTAATAAATTTGGTAACGACGTACTGAGTTCAAATCACGTCATAGAAACAAGAGACAAGCAATATTACAGATTATAAAAAAGAGGGGCGAGGTTAAAGACAAAGATTACGTAATCAGAGTAGAGAATAAAGACATCCAGTTACCATGACAAGGAAAGACTAATAACTGCTTCTTTCTGAACACATAAATCTGGATTGAAGCGTTTGATAGAGATTGCTTCGGCAAACTTGAGGAGAATGGAGCTCCTTTGTCTATTGATAATTTTAAAGGATTTCTCGATTTCCACCTCATGACCCGTGTCGAGGAGATGCCTGGCGATGGCACTGTTTAAAGAATTTGTTCCCTTTAGACGTAAGCTTTTTGGTACATGTCCAGAAAATCGTAGATATGCCCAAACTTGAGGAGAATGGAGCTCCTTTGTCTATTGATGGTACCATATTATTCTGCACAAACCACTGTTGTTCTTGCTTTACTTACAAGAAAAATGAAGATTTTTTTAAAAATCTTTATTTTCACTGGGTGGGGATGCTAGCCTCATGCCCAACCTTCCCTCTTTACCAGTTTTATAACTGGGTTAGCGAGATAAAAGAGAGCATTGGTGGCCGGGGATCGAACCCCGGACTACATGCATGGTCGGCGAGCATCCTATGGCTGTGCCACAGGTGCATAGAAAAATGAAGATAATAAAAATAAAACAGGATTTCATGATAAGCTGACATCGGTTAGCCAATCATTGTAAAACCCTCTGCGAGTATTGGACAGCTGTTTCATCCTAGTGCTTGGCACTGTTCAGCAATACGCACCCACCACAGGGGTTTGAATCAACGGTCTTCCGGTTACAAATCGAGCTCGTAGACTATCCAGCCACTGGAACTTGATCCATGAATTCCAATTCCTTCCAATTCGCGACTAACACTAGCCAATGCCATCGGTGTCGAGTATTTGTTCTCACAACCTATCTGCTGTACCCTACGTGTCACAATTTCTCACCAATACTTGTATATCAGTTTGATGCTCACCAGCGACTGATCCTATTTATGTAGGTCTTGACCAGTGAGTAGGGTACTGCAGATCATCGGGTATGGGGACAAATACTCGCCAGTGATGACACTGGCTAGTGCCAGTCGCGCTATATCCTGCGTGAATTGGTAGAAGTTAGAATTCATGTCAGCTGGCCATTGGGTTAAATCCCAGTGGCTTATTGGTCTACGAGCTCGCTGGCCTTGTAACCAGAAGGTCCTGGCTTTGACTCCTGGCAGTGGGTAGGTATTGCTGAAAAGTCCCAAACACTAGGACACAAGTAGTTATCTAGTACTCGTAGGTGGTTTTCTAATGCTTCCCTAACCGAAATCAACTCATGATGAAATCCTCTGACTAATCAAATCCCTGCAAACCAGCATTCTAAACCTAACACCAACCTTAAATGTGACCCTAACAAGCGATCAATACATGATCCAATAAGTAACTAAAAACCACATCAGGAATGAAATGTGCATCTCATTTCGTTCATAGTGGCGTTATAACCACGGTAGGTCCTGTTATCCGACAAACAGTATGCTCTATACTCTTTAACTTGGCGCAGATGGAATCGATTTAACGCCACCCACTAAATCCAACGCAACCCCATCTCCCCCCGGCAAAAAAACATGTAATCGTCTGAATTTTCAGTCAACTTTCGACTGTCATTGTCAAAGTTGAATAAACTTTTGTTTATTTACATGATGATAAGGTGTTTTAACCACGTTGACCTTAGGTAAAATGTTAGTTGTCAAGACAATCTACTATTATTATCAATATTATTATTCTCAGATTATCGATAGATAGATAGATAATAGATAGATGACCCTATCCACCGTGTCTACACTAATGTCTGTTAACCTACTTTTTTCTAAGACGAGAACCTTTCTATAAATAATAATAATAATTAGAGAAGAGTGAAATACTCGAAGGTGAGAGAGATGTAAGGCGATTCAGACGATAACACATCCGTTGTCAGTCGGTGGAAGTAAACGATATATACATATATATATTGTCTGTCACCTTGCTTATTTCTTCGTTTGCTTGCTTGCCTGTAGTATTTTGCTGTTGCCAGGATTACTTGTATTCCAGAAAGAGAGAGAGTATAAATGGACTATAATATAACACAAATACATGCATACACACACAAACATAACGGGATATTATTTTCAACCAATCCAACTTATTCACAATCTCACTACCGCCTTATTTAATAAGTTTGAAAAAACAAATAAGTAAATAAATAAAAGAACAAACGATTCTTTCTCTCTAATAATAAATGTCCCCAGTGTATGTATATATGTAATACGCGCCTGCATAGACAGGAAATTATTAGCTAGAATGTGTTAAATAAGATAAAATAAAAGGGGGTCATCCTATCTATAAAATAGGATTTATCCTGTCTGTCGGTAATTGCATTCACCTACCTACCTACCTATCTAGCCAGCCAGCTAGATAGCTAGTTAGCTAGCTAGCTGAAGGTGTTCGAATTTGTGTGTGTGCATGCATGTATGTATGTCTGTGTATATATGTGTCTGTCAGTTATTTAAACAGCTATTGTTGAATTTCACACCCATATATGTATGTGTGTTAGTGTGTATGTGTGTGGGTGTCTGAAACAAGTGTGAACAAGATAATGATGATGATGATGATGATCCCCTATTGGTTAAAAAGTGTGATAATCTAATTTGTTTAGTGTACCTTTACATATATATATAAATATTACCCTCCCCCTTCCCACATATCAATGTAAGATATCCAATCATTTTAGCCTGTATTTTTTAATTATTAAATAACAAATTATAGATGGATATTTGAGAGAAAGAATATAGAGAGTAGAAGCAATACACAAACAAAAAAGCAGGAGGAATAACAAGGTGAAACGTACGACGAGAAGGAGGTGGAGTAGTATTCATTCATTCATTCATTCGCTTTTATATGTGTTTTACAGATAACCGAAAAGCCAGCCAACTTCAAAGATAAAATTTATTATCATCATCGCAGTAGACTGACAATGTTGATTAGTCAAACAAATTCAAATTTATGTTTCACAGATAAATCTTCATTATCACCGTTGAAAACAACATCGATTATTCTGTCGAAATCATCATCATCACCTTCATCATCATCTCCAACAGAATCTCCTGTAGATGACACTACCAGTAATCGCAATGAATTCAACACAGAGGCATCTAGACCACATGTATTATTAATCAATAAACCTCATTACCTCAATTTGAATGATTCCCTGAATACTACTCCGCTAACGACGACGACGACGACTACGTCTGCTACTTCTGCGCCTACTCCTACTGCTACTCCTACGATTACTTCATGTAAATCTCCGATATCATCACCACCGATGTTCAAATTTCCTTTAACTCTATCCAATCTTCAAATTTCTCCATCAACCGAGTCCTTGTTATCCCTACCACAATATACATCAATCAATTCGACACTACCTTCATTATCTTCTCCTGCATTATACGCAAATAGAATGGATACTACAGATAAGTTGAATATATTTATGAAAATGTTAAATAATGTTACAACAAACGACTACTTTTTAAATGATCCGCCTTCTTCGTTAACTTCTGTATCATCAATGCCTGCGTCACATTCAATGTCCAATAATAATAATAGTTCAGTGTATACAGATTTATTATCGTCCCTATCGTCACAAATGTCAACAACAACACCAGCAACAGCGCCAGCAACATCGAATTTATTAAATAATTCAATTGAACAGGCTGATTTATTAAGATTTTTAAATAATTTCAATGATAAATATCATTTAGAAGGATTAAAAGAATATGATCAAGGTGTTCAATATATTGAACAGAATGTTTCTAAAAATAATAACAATAATAATAATCACGATGATGGCAGTAATAATAATAATAATAATCTCTTGCTTATGATGATGTTAATGATGTTTATGAAACGTAATATTATTGATTCATATGCACAGACATCGAATCATCATTTACAAGGGAATGCTTCATCGACATTATCGACGTCATCATCAGCGTCTTGTTGTTGTTCCACGTCACCATTAGCAACGATGAAAACAACAGCAGCAACAGCAACGACAACACCGACGGCGATATTAGTATCTACGACATCAGCTGTCTTGACGTCAACACCAACATCATCGTCAACTGTCACTTCGATCAATCATTTCACTGATGATATGCTCTATCATCAGAGATCAATACGTCTACATGACCGATCTAATTATCAACAGCCACAACAACAACTCCACCAATCAAATCATCGATATCGTCGTCAGCATCAATCGATAAACAGTCCACAACATCATCATTATATCGATTTAATGGATGAATTAGACACTGGTACTATTACAAGTCTATATAATAATAATAATAATACGTCGAAGTTGAATACAAGACAATTAAGCGTATGTATTGATAAATTAGCTCAAAGTAATTTGAATAGTACTGCGACAAGTACAGTTACGCATACGATTGCTACTCCTACTTCCGGTACTATGGAGGATGATAATAATAATATCAATAGTCATAGTATATTAATAGTAATAATAATAATAATGATAATAACTATTATACAACTGATCCATACGCGGTGAATAATTCAGATAAGATCGATACATTAGTTCAGCGGACAGAATTATTGGATTCTGAATTATGGAAACATTTTCACAGTATGACTACGGAAATGGTGATCACAAAATCTGGACGGTGAGTATTTCTTCTTTATATTTGTCGTTATTGTTATTATTGTCGTTGTTGTTGTTGATGTTTCTTCGCGTGAGGTGACAGTCTGTTAGCCTTAAGGTTCAGCGTGCTTACTGTCTTCCAGACTAATTATTTAATTGAATTTTTCGATTTTCCCATCGATGGATTGGACCGAAGTGCTCAGTCTCAGGTTGACATGTCGACTTCTTGTGCAGATGCTTCGACGATGTCTGGGCATGTAACTAGAGGTTAATTGGTAGATGATGCCCAATATATGGCTCTCATGGTCCAAGTGGTCTAGTGGTTAACGTTTGAAACTATGAGCACTGGGTTCAAGTCTCAGTAGTGAGAACATCATCACTGACTCATTGGGGAATGCAGGTACATGCAGTTGGCTGACGAGTCTTAAATGGGACGAAATGCGTATTGTCCTGGATCCCACTGCTAGCCACCATCTACTGATTAACCTCATTAAACTAAGCGGAATAAACAGGAGTAGATTGTTCGATCACCAATTGAACCAACCTAGACCTCCTATATGGTTGTACGAGTATTCAGTCATTGCGCCATAGGTTTTTGTGATATTTTAATTTGGTAAAACTTACTTTTGAAGTTTTGAGTTGTTTTTTTCTTTCTAATGGATTGATTTTTTTTTGCTGAAGTGAAACACAGTCTCAGTGGGAAATAAGCTACGTTCGACTTATAAGTCCTAAACGGGATGAAATGGAATTTATTAGTTCTCCTTATTATCATTCAAACAAGTTAGTCTTAATGATGATGTTGTCCAGTAGGACAGTGAAGGTTTGGCAATTAATTCGGAGAATACAACAGTGCTGGAAACATCCTAACGTCGTCATGAACTAAATAGGAAGACAGTTAATCGTATTCTCCTTGATTCCCGTATGATCTATTCGTTTGAGTTTCGAGTGGGTTATGGGGTTTCAAAATAGAATTTTTTTTTGAGCTTTAGTAGTAGTGGTGTTTTTTTCTATAGTTGGTTTGTAAGGATTAGTTTTGTGTTTTTACGAGTTGACCACGGATTGATATCAGTTAGAGAACCATTGAACCATGGCTCGTATACCATTCAGCCATTGGGACCCGACTCGATTCAATGGCCAGTGCATAAATTCTAACTTCTACCAATTCGTGATTTAGCGCAACTGGCACCAACCAATGTCGTCGGTAGGACATCCATCCTCACACGTGACATCTGGATGAACCTCACTGATCACGACTTCTTACGGGATGAGAGTGTTAGCTTCATGCTCAACCTTCTCTGTTTATCAAACTTACTGGAGGTTTAGTCGGTAAGGTTTAGGAGTGCTCGAAGATACATGGAAGCAATTCGCTAAATATCACACTGTACTCATTCATTCTGTAATTAATTAATATCAACCTTTGGTAGCTATGGTGATGTCTTTGGATTAACCTGATATCATTTCACACACTTAGTATGAGATTCAGATTGACTGAGTGAGGATGGAAGGCTTGAAGTGTAAATTTCTGTGTTCCTCCAAATCCTTCTTGAACGAGTCATTCGAGGGTGATGATACCACTTCTTTTAGCAGTCGGTTGCAGGAGTTGTTGACTCAGTGTGAGAACCAATATTCCACAGCAATATATTTTTTCTCCTTAGCTTTTGAACTATCCTGCAATGTCTTCTAAGATGTTCCGACCTGGTAGGAAGGAAAAGACAGAATAGATCAGGTCCGTAGTCATTATTTAAAATTTTAAACATTGTAATTAAATATCCTCTCTACCTACTATGGTATGATAGGGAGAAGAGATTTAAACTGTCTAGTCTTTCATCGTATGATAAATTAGTCATGCCGAGAATCATACGTGTTGCCTTCTTTTGAAGCCTTTCTAGGATATATGAGTCCCTTTTAAGACAAGGACTGGCTGTCTGGATATAGTTTTCCAATCTTGATGTCACCAAAGATGTTTATCAGGAGGTGAACATTTCTCTGGTGATTCTGTTAATTACCTACGTGCAGCTACAGCCCAACAATGTGATGTAGTTTTTAAATCGTGACTTACTATGACACCTAAATCCAAATAAGTCTGAACTGATGGGAGTTTTATTCCATCTTGTTGAGGAACAAGATCAGAATTTTCGGTATTAACATTAAGTCGTCATTCGGTGCTTCTATATGTTCCACAGATTTCGGGTTACACATGTCACCGAAAGTATTTCCAACAGCCTATTGCAGGACTTTCAACAGCAGTTATCTACCTTCACTGGCCGATCAGAAAAAGATAAGAATAAGCAACAATGAGCTATGGTAACGAGTCGGCCAAGAACCCAGTACCCAGCAAATATTAAAAAGGATATTAGAACGATTTGGACATACACTGAGGAGGACTTCAAAGTGATATTACTAGCCAGACTGGTCGTTTACTGGAATCTAAATTCGAAGCGATGTGTTTGACCTGGGTCCTAGGGTAAATTTGGAAAAAAACATTATTTTTTTGTTATTTCTTCCTTCTCGTTCCCAGTGGAATATAGGGCTACTTCAAGCTAATGGCTTGAAGTTTCTGTAGCAGTGTTTAGTTTTACAGGTTGAGGTTGCTAGCCTCATGCCCAACCTCTCCTCTTTATCAGCTTTTCTTAATTACTGGCTTAGCGAGGTAAAGGAGTTCGTCTGTGGCCGGGGATCGAACCCCGGACCCTGTGCATGGTCGGCGAGTGTCCTAACCGCTGTGACACCGACGCACTTTAGAAAAAAACCATATGAGCAGGAAATTGAAGTGAATAGACATTTGCAAAGATTGCAAAGACGATGGAGTGAAATGAAGGTGTGCCACGGGTATTTGAGACTTTTCAGGAGAACTATCAAATATTACTAGTCGTCTTAAATGACTACCCAATTATTTTGTCGGGTGAAATCCAATTCTAAATTAATTTTAACTTCTTTTCAAGTATTGGTTTTGTAGGGATTTAGCTTGATTGCATGGAAGATTTCATCATGAGCTGACATCAGTTAGAGAACTAGAAGGTCCTGGGTTCGAACCCCCACAGTGGTGGGTGCGTCCTGCTGAAGAGTCCCAAACTGCGACGAAATAGCTTTCCAGTACTCCCTGCAGGCTTTCCACTGGTTCTGTAACTGATGATGTCAGCTCATGATGAAATCCTCCATCCAATTTTAACTTCTCTCAAATTTTGCGATATAGCCAGATGAAAAAACAATAAAAAGAAGCCAAGTAATTCAGCGAAGTGGCTGTTTTCGAGGCGACTGTCATTTTCCCCTTTCTCTGTACAACTGCATTTATATATATAAAGCTCTTTTGTCACAAAATGAGAATAGTGGCAAAAGTGATCATTTGTCCTAATTATAGTTGTTAATAGGGTGTCGGCGATTCAGCGGTAGAATGCTTGCCAGCTACCCCTCATGCGGTTCGAAGGATTCAATCCCCGGCTGACGTCCTCCTTTACTGAAAACAAAACACGTAGATCAGCAAAGAGTCTCTTTTCGAAGGTGAATTCATTTTCTTAGCTGTACAATCGCAAATATATAAAAGGGTTACTTTGCATGTATGTGTACAATAAGTTTATCAAACAAAAATACAATCGGTTAGAGTTATTTCAACTAAACAGGTGAAGATTGGTTGTTAAAGTTACGTAATACAAAATCAGTCAATAAAATTGGGTGTTAATGAAATTAGGGTAGTAACAAAGGTGATGAGTTGTCACAAACAGTTGTTAAAAAACAAGTTATGTAATAATATGAATAGTTTGATGAGTGAGTTTTACTCAGGATGCACATAGGAACAAAGTAGATAATACGAAATTACGTAAGAGTTCTAAATGAATACAAGAATTATAAGCAATTAAAGAAACAGGCAAACAAACAAAATTAAGTCATCAAAATCAAAAAATCAAATCAAAAAAGTTGTTACCAAGACAGTAGAAGTGGTTGGTTGAGTAATTCTCTTTTGTATGCACAGCTCCGGCTTTTCTATGTGAATGGCCAGAGCTTCAGCGATACAAAGAAGGCGAAACCGTATTGCCTTTGATAGGTTGTTCTTGACTCTGTAGATTACTTTGAAGGAGGCGTTTGTTGAAATGGAATGATCAGTGTTGACCAGATGCAATAAGGAGTGCGATAATTGAACATCTGGTTAACACTGATCATTCCATTTCAACAAACGCCTCCTTCAAAGTAATCCACACAGTCAAGAACAACCTATCAAAGGCAATACGGTTTCGCCTTCTTTGTATCGCTGAAGCTCTGGCCATTCACATAGAAAATCGGAGATGTGCATACGAAAGAGAATTACTCAACCAACCACTTCTACTGTCTTGGTAACAACTTTGTTGATTTTTGATGACTTAATTTTGTTTCTTTGCCTGTTCTTTAATTGCTCATAATTCTTGTATTCATTTACAACTCTTACGTAATTTCGCATTATCTACTTTGTTTCTATGTGTATCTTGAGTAGAACTCACTCATCAAACTATTCATATTATTACATAACTTGTTTTTTAACAACTGTTTGTGACAACTCATCACCTTTGTTACTACCCTAATTTCATTAACACCCAATTTTATTGACTGATTTTGTATTACGTAACTTTAACAACCAATCTTCACCTGTTCAGTTAAAATAACTATAACCGACTGTCTATTTTTGTTTGGCAAACTTAATGTACAGATATATAAAAAAAATAAGACATATATATTTGCGATTGTACAGCTAAGAAAATGAATTCACCGGCGAAATGAGACTCTTCGCTGATCTACGTGTTTTGTTTTCATTAAGTCCTCCTTTACCTCGCTAAGCCTGTAGTAGGACCACTAAAGAGGAAAGGTTGGACGTGAGGCGAGCAACCCCACTGTTAACAAAACTTCAAGCCTCCCAGTGTACTTTTTCTGGCACAAATGTGGGAATTTGTATAAATATAGTTACAGGAGGTGACCCTATAGATACATAGTAGGAAGAAATGGCGACAAACGGGACACACACACACACTATAAGTAGTGCTCCAAGTGATATCACAC